TGAAGTGTGTAGCCTCTGTGGGCTGGTGCTGCGCAGCAAAGCAATGCTCCTAGAGGAAAACAAGTGAGCAAGTGCCATACTTTGCACCTTTCTCTCTTCACCCTAATGAAGCAGGGCTGAGTCTTCCTGTCTCCTCCACAGAAGGTGGAGTGTTACCTGAGGTGACAGGGTTGTTGGGAAAGTCAATTCCCACTGTATGCTGGGAAACTCCACATTTCTCTACGGGGCTGACACTTCACAGGTACTCACAAGCTCTTCCCTCCTTTCTAATGGTAGGTTATTTGCCTGTAAAGCTTTGCAGCAATGCTTCATCAGGATTATCTGTTTTGCTAGCACCTTCCCAGCTTGATTATCTTTCAGTAGTGGCTGGAGGACATTGCTCAATTTAACATGTGGCAAACAGATGCTACAACAGGTAGTTACAGTTTAGTGGGCATAGTGGTGATGGGTTGACAGTTGGACTAGGTTTTAGTGATCTTTCCCAACCTTAATGATTCTGTAATTAATGAAGTTCTTATTGGGGCTGCTTGAGGAAGGCTTGCTGGGTTGGTAACACAGGCGATGCCTTTGTGTGCTGGGCTCTGAGATGTGCCAAAGCAGTGACTCTGCCTTTGCTTCCCTATAGGCACCTTACAGAAGGATAGAGCCTCATGCCTTCCTCCATCCATCTGTGCAATCACTGTGCCTCATGTTTTGTCTGGGAGCATTTGTGCAGTGCTACTATAGGCTGAGCTGGCTCCCCACACCCACTGCGTCCCACTCTCCAGAAGTCAGTACTGCTGCATGGTTCAAGGGCTGCTATTCCACAGCCTTCTGATATTCTTCACAGCTGTCACACTCTGACACTGCCCTGGGTGGGACTAAAGTGGAATTATAACTCCCGGTGGTGCTCCAGCAACTGATGCTTATCATAAAAGCTGTCCTCCTTGAGATGCAACTGATGAACCTATGGGTAAGGTGGCCAGTTAATCAGACTCAGCCAGAGCTAGCAGCAGACCCTGTGCTCAGGATGGCGTTTATTTTTTTCCCTGTTACTGCTTGGTCTGTTGTTTTTTTATGTGTTTTTGCTGTGGTGCAGTTGTGGCAAGATGCTGGATATATGGGGATTCTGCTGAGCAGTGCAGGGCTGGACTGCCCAACCTCATCAATTCAGTAAGGTCACTGAAAGTCACTTCTAGAGTTAAAAAGTCTGTGGTAATATTTGTCGCTCAGGTTCTGCCTAGTCCCATCCCTCCTCTGCATTAGCTTGTGGTGCCTGGCTTCCTGATACTGCATGCTCTACTTTTTTTTGTGCACTGTTCCCACAAAGTTTGCTTTGTGTTCTTGCCTCTGTCTGGTCCAGATCTGAGGCAGAGATTGTGCCCCATAAACAATGGATTTTGCAGACCTTAAGTACTTACAAAAATACTCTTAAGGTTGGCAAATGTCACTTTGGCCATGCAGTGGGGTGCTGGGAATTTTAGCTGTCCTACGTGTTTCTTAGTGGACAAATATGAACAGCTGCCAACAGTGGAATTTATTGCCAAAATTCCCAAGCCACTGCCACCCACGGATGTGACAGTACTCATTTTGCAATCTCTAACCCTGCAGTATTTGCTAAAGGGAGAGGAAATCCACAGGGCTGCTCTCTATGGGCATTTGGGTATTGTGCCTGGAATGAGGAGGGCTCAGATGGAACAGTGGGAGCAAACAGAAGGCTGTTCTGCCTTTCAGCAAGACTTGAACAGATGGGTGAGTTGAGTAGAGAGCCTAATGAGTTGGGTAGAACCTAATGAGTTTCAATAAGTCTATGGTCCTACATCAGGGGGGATTAAATGCACACATCAGTACAGGACAGGGAATGATCTCCTAGAGAGGAGCTCTGCGGTAGACAACATGGTGACCATGAGCCAGCAGCATGAACTTTTGCCCAGAAAGGCCATCGGCATCTTGGGGTACATTAAAAAGAGCATGTCCAGCAGGTTGAGGGAGGTGATCCTTCCTTTCTACTCTGCCCTGGGGAGGCCATCTCTGGAGCACTATGTCTGGGCAGGAACCAGGAATCTCCTAGAAAAAGTCCAGTGAAGGGCCACAAAAATAATTAGGGGCCTGGTGCATTTCCCATACAAGGAAAGTGTGAGAGGCTTGAGACTGTTTAGCCTGGAGAAGACTGAGAGGAGATTTTATCACTGCCACTAAATATCTAAAATGGTGGGTGTCAAGAGGCTGGGTCCAGGCTCTTTTTGGTGGTGCCCAGTGACGTGACAAGACACGATGGGCACAAGTGTAGGAAGTTTCTTCTGAACACGAGGAAGAACTTCTTTGCAGTGATGGCAACAGAGCACTGGCACAGGCTGCCCAGAGGGACCGTGGACTCCATCTTTGGGAATATTCAAGACCCACCTGGACACTGCCCTTTGCAACCTGCTTTATGGAACCTGCTTTAGCAGGAGGGACAGGGGAGATCTTCAGAGGTCCCTTCTGACCTCTACAGTCCTCTGAATCTATGAAACTGCTGCACAAGGGCCCACTGAGATCCCCATTGCTCTCAGCCCCCAGAGGGCAACCAGGCTGTAACCAAACAATGGAATGCCCCCAGCACAAGGACACTGTGCACCTGCTCCCATCGCATCCCTGCCACTGCTGGATAGAAACACAAAGCAGGCTTCTGTTTTAATGAGAAAATAATTATATACTTGCATTGTAGGCCTCACAGTCACTATAAAACAGAAGCAGGATAACATTGAAGTGGTTAACATACAGAAAGCCAGGTACTGTTGAAGCTGTTCGGTGAGTCATGATAAGGATGCCGCCTTCTGGTTGCCAAACCAAGTGATGTTTTTCTGTTTTCCTTCGAATGATGTCAGTATGGAGCGAGGTGAAGCCCAAACTGGCAGCCTTTAAAACAAACCATTCAGAAAACCTGCACTGTAACCCCGAACTGCTTATAATCACAAATGCTAATGCTTAACTATTTCTCAATACACAGTTTCATTAAAACCAGTCTTTGCCACAGGAAAGGATCTGAGCGCTTCTTTTGTGGAGACAAAGTTAACTCTGCAATAGTGCTCCTTGGTTGCGTTGGATATAGTTATATATAGATAGATATGTATTACTGGCGTATACTTATAAACATCTAAGCCTGGTAGCATGCAAATGAAATAACAGAGAGGCGAATGAGCTGCACAGCACCTGTGCTATCGCTGCACCGAGTGTGCACTGCTGACAAATGCCCATAATTTCTGGAAGAGAAGAACACTGCTGGCTGCAAAGTTTGGCTGCCCGAGTCCACACATGCCACTGCCATGGGGAGGAGAGCGGAAGCCCCAGTGCTCCTTTCCAACAACTGTGCCCCTTGTCGAGGGCAGTCTGGTTTGCGCTTCTAGGACCAAGGGGAAACAAAGCATGAGCAGATGGGTGGTCTTGAGATGGGTGACCAATGTCAGCCGGTGTGGGAGGAAAGCAGACCTCGATGTGGAGGGGAATACAGATATGCCCCCATTTTGGGGAGCATCGTCTGATGCGGGGCCCTCTGCTCAGGGCACCTCGTCTCACAGCAAACAGGTCAGCAGGGCCTTCGTGTGCTCCACGGCACGGAGGGAGACAATTCATACAGCTCATAGACGCTACAGTTCCCTGAAAATGGGCCTCAAAATGTCCACAGGCATGCTAGGGGGAATTGTGGGGAGTAACATCGTTCGGTTGCAAGCGCTGTGTTGGTTGAAGAAAAGCACCAGGAGTGTGTTCACAGTATTGGTACTTATTAGAAGTGAGCTTGCTGCTCCAAGACAAAGCAGCGCAGCAGGCCAAGAAGCCAAGGAGAGGCTTGGGGGAGGACCAGCACTGTGGTTTTTAAAAAGAAGTCAAAATAATCATTGCTTGTCTATAAAAAAGGCAGAGCGTTTTATATAGAAAAAAGCTCAGCATTTTTTTGTTGTTGTTGCTGTTGCCTCCCAAACTTGTTCATTTCTGGTCCAGAAATTATGGTTCCCAGATCTAAAATACTCTTATTGTATTGCTTGTGTGAAAAGAGTAAACCCGCAGCCTCTATACTACATACAAATACAAAGCACAAGAATAAATACCACATTTCTTTTCCTAATTGTCAGCTTACAAAATTGGTCAATACTTTGCAATTGTGATTCATGCAAATACCATGTTGGGTCAAATTTTGATATCACAAATACTGCATTAACTCAGTGCCTTGTTTTTTTATATCCCCTTTCAGACAAAAAAAAAAAAAAAAAAGAAAAAAAAAAAAAAAAAAAAAAAAAAAGGAATGGGAGAAAGAAAGAAAGATATGAGCACTCACCCCTACAGCTGGTACACAGCCTTGGAGAAAACCCACACATGCACAGTGCCACACGTATCCTTGCACACGCGCCCCACGCACACACAGATGCACACGAACCCCTGGTGGCTGATCCCGGGCCAAAGCAACAAGCACGGGCCCTGTGGTCTGCTTGCAGCACTGCACGCTCTGGCTGGCTGGAAAACGTCATGCTTCCCCCCTGCCTGCACCCTCACTCCCTCCTGCCCCCAACTTCTTGTTGCCCGAAGGCTCCCACAAAGCACTCTTCTCCAAAGGCTTTTTATGTTGTACAAATATAGTGAAAGACGTAGCTCTCTTTCCTCTCTATCTCATACCTCTTCCTTGGCCAAAGTCTGGCTTAGTTCAATTATTGCCTTCTTTAAAAATTAAATGTCCTTTATTTGTATTCATTCCTCACTACCTTTCTGCTTCAAACTGCCCATCTCCATTGGTTATCCACGTACACCATTCTTCTTCCCCTCCCCACCATCAAAAAATAGTTGTCATCCGCTAGATACAGACTTCCTATTTAGAAACTTTGTTAGGTAAATATGATCTGAGAACCTGGAGCTCAGGTGATATTGCAAGCATACAGGATCCTAAAGCTAAGGTGACCATTTGGCTTAGCTCTCATCCCCATCTATTCCACTCCTGAATTGTGATGGCTTGTGTTTGCAACACAAGGGCTGTATTTACTGAGTCTGCTGGATTGTACATTTGCAACAGATGCTTCCCCGTTTATTTGTGGGTTTTTGTTTTTTTTTTCATTTAAACAGATAAATTACTAGATAAGGGGCGCAGACCCCCCCTCCAAAAAAACCAACCCCATTCCATTCCCAACCCCAAACCTTTCGGTCCCCTCAAACAAACAGCATCGGAGGGTGACGTCGTCATGCTGCAGGGGTGAGGCCGATGTGGGCACAGACCCCCGAGGTGTGTCCCGGGACTCCCCGGCCCTGCAACCCTAGCATCATTTGGGAGGGGGAAGCAGGGGTGGGAGGAGGGGGTGTTTTCTGAGTGGGCTGTTCCTGTTGTTTTAGAGTTGCCGGGAGCTGGATTGTTTCTATGTCTGTGTGCATCATTGAGTTCATTGTGTATTTAATAAATATCGGATTAAAATGCTGCTTATTTTTTTTTTCCTTTTTTTTTTTTTTTTTTCCCCTCCTTTCTCTTTCATATTTTCTTTTCTTTTTTTTTTTTTTTTTCCTTTTTTTTTTTTCTTTTGGTTCAGCAAGTGATGCTGCACAGCTACTCGTCCTCCTCTCGGTTGGCGTAAATGCCGGCCTCCCAGCGCAGCGCCAGCGCACTCTTCCTGCGGTTCACCCTGGTGGCCTCCAGCACCTGGAGGGACAGAAGGAGAGGACATCCGTCACATCACTGGGCGAACAGGCATAAGAACTCCACACATCCAGCAGGTGTGTTATATGTAGAGAGGCATGTATGCATATGTATGTACACATGTAACAACACACATAGAAATATATCTATATTATATATATGCACAAACATATGCACGCATATAAAAGCACACACACGGTATGCGCCTTATATATGGACACACGTGCATGCACAGAAACAATTATTTTAGGTGAGGAACAGTTGTAATACATGTGCAACAGACTTACTTAAAAAAATAATTCAGAGTGGACCAAAGGGTGCTAGCAATGGGGTGTGCACACAATGTGCTCCTCTGCAGATACAGAACAGTGTATGCCTGCCTGCACCAGTCGTCCTGCAGAAGTGCAGTTCTTAAGTTTAAAGAGCCAGTAAGAAAAAGAGAAAGAAATAAAAGGAGTAGAAAAGCCCAAACAACAATATATGACTGTTCCATCAGCTAATGGCTGCCCCCCAGGTCCTATAGCCTCTAGCATACTGCTCTGCACAAAAGTGGCCTTCTGAGATAGGGCTGTGCTATTTGATTCCTCTGCACAGAAGTCAGATGAGGTGATGACTTAAGTCTTGGATGGGGCAGAAATAAACAGCTGAAGTTTAAGAATTACAAAACTGAGTTGGAAGGGACCCATAAGGACCACGGGGTCCAAATCCTGCTCCACACAGCACTACACAAACCCGAACCGTGTGTGTGAGAGTGGTGCCCAAATGCTTCTTGAGCTCCAGTAGTACTACCCTGGGGAATTATGCCATGCCCACTGCCTTTCCCTAAGCTGTGGGAGTGGGAGCAAGGCTGAACAGTTTTTATTTTATCCACTAGAGGGCAAATGCACCCAGAAAACCAACGATTCATCTGAGGGAAAAAAGGAATCCATGAAGAAATCCGTCTGAGATATTAGCTGCAAGCAGTGCAGTGAAGCAATTGCAAGGCTGAGGGCTGGAGGTTTAAGCTACGTGCCTGGGGTGCTGAGTGCCCAAGCCATGCGAAGACAGTCCAAAATGTGCCTCTGAACAGTGGAGAAATAAAACCACTTATCAGGGCATCGTCACTGTCAGAGTAAGAAATTAGAGAGGCTGGTCTATGGTTAGCAACAAAGGGTAAAAAAAAAAGCATTGTGTTGTTTTTTTTTTTTTCTTCAGATGGCAACAGGCAACTGCTAGCAGACTACTGAGACCAGTGTAGAGTAACAATTAAGAAAAACTAAGAAAATTATTGTTTTCCCCACTAGATAAGGAAATTCAGATTAAAAAAAAAAAAGCCAATTCAGCACAAATTTCAAACTGAAACTGACATTGTCACAGAGCAGTGATACATCCAAGAGACATCTCCTGAATTTGGTGAGGTTTATGGTAGCTGAAAATAAAAGGGATTTTACATAATTTACAACAATTTCTGATCACTGTCTTCCTTGCTGGAAATCATCCTGTTGCAATGATCTTTGGTGGTGTTTGTAAAAAGCCATGACTTGGAAAACCTGAGGATTTTTCCTTCAGATCAGTCAGCAGAAAGCGAAGATGGATGCCAGGCTCAGCCCTGAGCCCAGATCCCCAGCCTAGTAGCTGGGACCACAGAACCACATGTACCCATAGATGGGACCATCTGCTGCCACTGCTCTCTGACTGTACCTGGAGCACCACCAGAGATGGGGGGTGGGCTCCAAAGGGATCATAAGGTGGGCAATTGGCTCACACTTAGCCTAGTGGTCTGGGCTGATAACATCCATGAAAAAAGCAACACGATATAAGTTGTTGTTGTTTGGGTAAGGTGACCAGTAGGTGCATCAAAAGAGAGGATCTGGAGTGCAGGAATTGGAGTGAAGCAGAAATGTGTACCAAGTCGTAGGGCGGTAAAACTGCCCTGTAAAAACCTGCTGCACCAATCTTCTTGTTGCAGCTCTAGGTTCTGCTGAGAACACCAGAGGCTTTTCCTTGACAGATTTCAAGTGTTTTTGAGGATTTTGTAAAAAGGTCAAAACAGCTATCACCATCAAGTGCAAGATTAATTTGTTTACCCATCCTCGAGATGGAGACTGACCTGTCCTGCGTTTTACTCTGACAGGCATAACAATATCTGCTCTCTTACTGGTAAAGAGAATAAAGAGCAAAACACAGACATACTTCAGTCCACAGCATAATCCCACCACCTGGGACTGAGTGAAACTGACTACTGTACAATACAAGCTAATTTTCACTGTACAGTGGCAGAAAACCAATGTGGAAGCAAACAGATTTTTCTGGAGCTTCATATATTATTAATTCTTCCCATTTGGACCTGGAAGAACTAAGAGCAACAGAAATAAGAAAATGCAGAGATTGGAATGTCTATGTTCTGCCACCTCCATGCAGAAAGACACCTCCAGAGAAGCACATCAGGCAAAAAAGAAATAACAGAAAACCAAATGCTTTAACACACAGTTAGAGCTACTGAGTGATGAACTGCATCAGCTACTTCAGCACAAAGGTATTTTCTGTGCTGTGCCCACGCAGTGCTAGAACATACCTGGCCTCCAGCGAGCATACTGAGGAGCTGGCTGGTGGAATCAAAACATTCTTATCCAGAACAAGAAAGTAAGAGTACTACTGCTGCTGGTCAGTATTGTAGCATAAGCTGTGTGTCCTCTGCATCAGACCTAGTCTGCTGGTTTTTTATTTCATAAATCAAAAATTTTCAGCAGTCACCTTAAAAAACAATGTCAGAATTACCTGACCACAGTTACCAACTACAGTATGACTGGTATTTAGTGAAGTCAGGTTAATGCCAAGTATATCCAGTAACACTTAGACCTGTAAAAACAAAAGCAGCTGTTTTTAAGAATGAGTACAATCTCCACTTGTGCAGGCACACGGTTATCAGTGGTCTCTGTAGAACTGCACAAGGATGTGCTTTTAACACAGACTTGGCTCTTTTGGTAACAGCTTTCTTCATGGCCATGCTGAAAACACATCTTTTCTCCTTCCCCATCCATTAACACTGCCTTCCAGCTCGCTGCTCCTCATGCCAGTACCCTTCCTCAATGCAGGCACATGGAGCCTGCCCTTGAGCTCCCACCCCTCACAGTACATGATGCCCTGACCACTACTGTGGAAGCTCCTATACTGCTCAACTCTCTAGAAATGCTCCACACAAGGATCAGTCACTGCTGACTGCTAGCAGTAAGAGAAAACCCACAATAAAATAAAGAATAGGAGAAGGCACAGTTTTTATTTTTCTTTACTCTCCAGGACAGATGACATTCATGTACCTGTCTTGAGCAGCCTGATGTGGAGAAGATATGCTATGAGATGGGGAAATAGTGGGAGATATGAGCATGTAGCACAGTACTGGTGCTGGACAGATGAGTGTCAGCCATTACTAGGACCTGTTTGTGTCCCTTAGAGAAGCACAGATTCACAAGCACACCTGCGCAGAAAACTACAGGCCACTGAAATGTCCATGTTACTGAGCACCTCATTCCTAAAAAACAGTGCAAGTTATTACCTCGCACATTCTGCCAGAATGCCAAACGCCACTGAAAATTTACCCTTATTCTAATCATGTCTGGGTTTCTTCTACACTGAGACCAGCGTGGATATGAAGTGGTGGGACTGCGTCATTCATCACACTGCGATGCACAGGGACAGGACATGCTCACACCATTCCCCACCTGGGACCATGCACTCACATCTGCCTCTCTTCTTCCACCACAGAAAGGTTGGTGTGGGGATGTCTTCCAAAATGCTGCACTTTGCTGCTGCTTCATACCAGGGATGGAGGAATGCCACACACACTATCTGAGGGTGCCTGGGTCCCAGGCGCGGCTTTGCCAGCAGAATGGCATGACAGAAGTTCTCACTTCATGCCTCAGGAATGCCTCAGTCCTGGGCTGCAGCTTCCAACCTTTTAATTGCAACCCCTCCCATGCCAGGGGCTGTAACAAGAATCCAGGGGAGAGAAAACCAGCCACACAAACACTGGCTGATGGGAGATAAGATGGGATATCCCCCACACATTTGCATCCCAGCTTTGATACAAAACAGTACTGGCACACAGCATGAAAATGCAAACTGCAGCAACATGCACTGGGAACCACCATGCAAGAGGAAGCAAAAATAAATAAGCAGTTGAAAAGTACCTCTGAAGTAACCTTGCTAGACAGTAATTTACAGGTGTACTGGTAGAAAGGGAAAAGACCAGCATTAGTACATTGAACAAGCATGTTACAACTAGGAAACAAGAACAACATAAATTGTAAGAACTTCCACATCTCAGAGAACAGGATTTCAAGCAACTTGGTGTCATGAAAAAAAAAAAACAAACAAAAAACATTAGTCCACTTGGTGTTTGTTTTTTTTTTTTTTAAATGACACGCTTGGCCTGTCTCAGTCTTGTTTACTGTTGGTGCTTGACTCATTTCTTTGCTGATGCTTTTTTTTCTCACCTGCTAAGCCCATACATCCTCTTTGGAAGAAACTGCCCACTTGGCAGAGCCGTGAAGCTCTTCCAAAAGCAGATACACTTGGTTTGCTCTCCATCTCTGAAAAGCAACACACTGGCAATCCCTGGCCAGAGCTGCCCTGGTGTAGCCACTCAAGTCAAACACAAAGCAGAAGGTGGTGGTGGTGAAGGCAGAGGCAGGGATCAGGTTCTCTTGGAACTCTTCTGCCTTCTGGTGCACCTTTGTGTAGGGAGAAACGGAAGCCCTACAGACCTGTACTCAGCATGTGATAGAGAATTTCCACAGACTTTAAGCCTCTCAAAGATCCCACTGAGGTGATCACATCTGCTGACTTCCACCCCTGCCTTAACAGGTCATGGAGGTGCTCTTCTGTTTTGTTAGGCAGGGCACACCTTCTGGTTAGGTGCTGAGACATCAGTGATCCCAGCCGGGACATCAGGGCATACCTTGAATTGCAAGAATAGGCAAAACAATCCTGGCAAACGTGTGTCTGGGAAGCACCAGTGCATGCACTTGAGGAGTTTTGCACACAGGCACCTGGAAAGAACCTGGCCACTTGCACTAATGACACCTTACCTACAACATGCGGCTATCCCAGCTGTGAGAGAAGGTTTCAGAGAGGGCAAGCCCTGCTCACTCTTGATGGGGGTTAGTATGCTGGGGATAAGCACATGGTGAGTATGCAGCTTCTTCTCTGCAGTGAGGTTTTGAGCCACCAGATTTGCTTCATGAAGCTGATGGAGGTTATTCAAAGCCTTCAGTAGGAGAAGGGACTGACAAGCTTTTGGTGTGCTTCAGAGACTCATCTGCCTGCATTTTGAGTCATCCCTCCTCTGTGTTTTGGTTAACCAGCAGAAGTGCAGCAGGATCCCTCTGCGTTTCATCCCTTTTGACCCCTTATACTATTACGCAATATTCACAATGATTAGAAGCTGCCAGAGCAGCACTGTCTGGTATCCACATTATAAAACTTCACTTCTATGTGCCTCATCAGACTCTGCCATCAATGAGACTTACTAGAATGTGATTTGCGTGGAGCATGAGCTCCTTGCAGCTGGGATCATTGTTCTGACATCTCTGGGAAGTGTCTGGAGGGCTCCAGCTGCTTCAGCAAACACAAAACACATTTAAGAAGTTTTGTATCTTACTTACATCTCACTGCTCTGCACTAATTCCCCACAGAAATTCTGTGAAGAAGAAACACCACAGAAGTGTGAAGAAGAAACATCTCATGCTTTGTTGAGAAACAGGCTGTGCAATGTATGCACCTGGATTTTGGAATTTCCTGCTATGAAATTCATAGCTCCTCTTACTATTGCCTTCAGTAAAGAGGGTGGTAGGTTAAACTGCTACAGGAATTGCTGAAACCCAGGCACCCCTTTCACAAACTGAAATCTGGCCAATTTTCTGTTTTTGTTTGTGTGGAGAAGAAATACAACAAATCCAGTGGGAGACACTGAGGGACCCATGGTTTTTTTCTGAGACATTCCCTCTCCAGTTCTCCCAGGGACTACTTGCAGGAGGGCAACCACTTTCTTACTTTCAACTCCAAGCATTCTGGGACTGCACTTTGTGAGTCAACAAACAAAGGCATGAACATATGCTTGATCCACAGTGTTAAAGCAGCTGTTGAAACAACCCACTAGCAAATCTTGATGGCAGGTGAATTTAAAAAACCTACCAATTTCAGGGCGACTGCCTGCTGTTCTCAATATTAATTATTAGTTATTCAAAGTGGAGATTAATGTGAGCTGTTTTTGACATTTCCACAGACACTGTCTTCCATCCCACCAGCCCTCATCCTTCCATTTCTAACATGCTGGCCCTTACAATGTGTTACAGCCCTTCAGCACCTGCAAGGTGACTTGAACAGATTCTAGGGAAATAAATTTTTGTTGTCCAACTCTCAGTAATTGTGATCAGCAGGAAGTGAAAAGGAAGAGTGAACTCACACTGCTGTCATCCATCCTCTCTCGTCTCTTGGTTTTGTGTGTTTCGTAATCCTCCATGAGGGTCTCCATCAGGTTCTTGGGTCGCTGGGCTCCTGCAGGCTCCTCAGCCTGCAGGTCGGAGTGTGAGGCAGGTCCTTCTGTGGTAGGGGATGGAGGAGGCTTGATTTTCTCTATCTTTCCTGCAATGACAAGAAGAAGAATCCCTTCTAAGCTCAAGGACTCACAAGTTGTTTCCAGAAGAAGAGAGCAGGATAAGCATTTTCAGTGGTGTCTGAATGAAGAAACAGATTGGAATGAAACCTGTGAAACAACCTGACAAACTGGAACAGTTGGTGGGTTTTTAAAACACTTGCCTCCTCCTCCTCCTTCCTCTTGAAGCCCACTACATCAAAATATTACAAAACCTGTCTACCAAATCTAGCAAAATTATCAAACAACATAAGGTACATTTAACCCATCATCACTGTTTACAGAAGTATCCAGCTGGATTACCCCCCTCTTGTAAGACTCATAGCAGTGGTTTGAAAATGTACACAAGGTGCTGAAAAACCACAAACTGGATCTTTTTCTGTCTCAGACAGTGCAGTGCACAGGATACCACCATGCATTAGATATCCAGAGTAGGCAGTCTGGTTAAACGGTGATGGCCTTTTTTTTATTCCCATTCTTTTCACCTGCTGAGAGCTTTGCACAGTTCTCTGGCGTTGCTCTCCCCTGGATTACTTCCCAGAAACTGCAGCTGGACAGGATGGGGAGACAAGTGCAATGAGCAAGGGGGTAGTGGGGAAACATCAGCACCCTATGGGAGGACAGCTGTGCACTGCTACAGCTGACAGTGCAGCACATGTCAGTGGGGATGAGCAATTGGCTTGACCCAGTGGTAAGAGTGAGGGCTGGCTATGGGTGTGGGAATGTAAGAAGGTCCTGTCCTGGCTGATGGCAGAAATGAATTAAGTGAGAAGGGCTCTCATCTGGTCACATGAGAAAAATACTTGGCTATGGGGGGAAAAAGCTATTGCTGAAGAAAATCAAGTTCCCTTCTCCATACCATGGCATCTCTATGAAATGAGACTGTTCAATGGATGAGGAAAGGAAAACCAACCAACCAACCAACAACCCCTAAACCATACAAATAAGGAAAGTAACCAGAAGAAGCATACAGATTTTCATGAAACTTCCTGTTGCTGATGCAAAAACCCAGCTCTTTCCAAAAAGTGTCATTAACACTGGTAACCACTAGAGAGCAGCCATGGAACCTCTGAAAGAGTCATCAGAAGCTTAATGAAAGAAGTGAAACCAGAGCCAGAATTACAAGAAATACCCTTGCAGGGCTTATTTCATTTCTAACCAGCACGGAAAAACCCAACATCACTTGTTTCTTGTTAAAGGTTTGGTTATGATGGCTGGTGCAGGGATGAGGCTGGGAATTCAACCCCCCTGAAACACCCTAGTAGGATGCAGAAGGGGTATTTCCACGAGCAACTATCATCCTGGTCATTAGGTCCAAGTAGGTAAAAGAGTGAGCTGGAAATGAAAGGCCTGCTTAAGGGTCAGGTATGCTGTTGTATTCCTTCATTCTTGTAGTAATTAGTGACTTCTTAGTTGTCCCACACAGCTTCTCTGAGCTCCCTGGAGACACAAACACAACACATACTGACCAGACCTACAGACGAGCCCCTTCCATCCTGGAAAGTGACACAAAGAGTGGGATCTGGGGATCTGCATTTTAGAAGAATGCTACAAGCAGATCTACCCTACCCAGTGGAAGAGCCAGCCATTTCTATGCTGTGGCAGCAATCCAGGAGCAACACGTGGCTGTGCTGTGTATACTGTGTAGGGCTGACAGGAATGGTGCTGTGGTTTCATTTTCACAAATAGAGAAGCCGAGGTAGAAATGTGCCTTCCCCACAGCAAAACAGTGGTTTGTCGGTCTCCAACCACATGAGATCACCCTTTATGCAATTGTTTTCCCCATGTATGTGGATGAATTCCACTAAAAACACTGGAATTCACAGCCTCATTTTGACTACTTTTCACAGATGAGGAGGTCTCTTCCTAAATATGTGTTGAAAATATGTAAGCAGGTGGAAATCCTTCCCATGCTAACAGCAGTGCCTGGCAGAACCAGCAGGCAGTTTTGTGGTGAGATGATGGGATGTCTGAGGCTTCAGGGCTCTTGCAACCTCTTGGCTCTGGTGCAGACTCAGTCTGCCAGTTCAGGCTGAGGTAGACATGCTGATGGATTAATTTTCTTCTGGCAGATTTCCACGTGGATAAGTGCTGTTCTCAGGCAGTATGTAGGTTCAGCATCACATAAAAGCATCACAGGATACAATGATCACAGATGATTTCCACTTCAGCAGTCCTCTGCTTGCCACCCAGTTCACTCACACACTGCAGGTGGTCCTTTCCCCAATCTGCGCTCAATGATGATATCCACACTCAGCCAAACAGTGGGGTACCAGCGAAAACTGCAGCCCCAAGTCACAAGTGCTATCAGCAGTGTCCTCCAGACGAAGGCAGTCCTTTGAAGTCCCTGTTGCATGACACTGATTACAGGATAAACACCCTAAGGCTTCACCTGTGAAGTTAACAGTTTTTCCCTCTTTTAGACAAATACTGATAAATATTCTGTGGCCTCAGACCTGGTGACAGCTCCCCAGTCTCTGGCTTCATCCACTTAGAATTTTGATTTCTCTTTATTTCTTCCCCTAAACTCACAGCAGGCCAAAGCTGCTTTGAGAAATGCTCTACTCGGTGCTTAGAGAATGGGGAAGCTCTGGAAGGGGGAACTCAGAGCTGCGTGCAAGGCAGTGCCTGTCAGCTCTATGTAAAAACAAAGACCTGGAAGAACTGGGAATGGATGAACTCCCATCCCAACCAAAACCTCTGCAGAGTACCTGGGGAGCAAGAACAGTTTTGAGCAAGGCGACATCCATGCCTACAAGCACCTGCTGTAAGAGGACGAATGGGCTGTCCATGCCCAGCTGGTCTGCTGCAAAGGAAGGAAAGAGCAACAGAGGAGAAATCCTGGACAGGAGGCAGAACAGGAGGCAGAACAGGAGCCTAAACCAGGACCAGCAAACATGTTAGCCAAGGATCTCTTTGGAGCTCTGCACAGAGCAACTACTTCACAGATGCTGCTAGCATCTTTAAGGCACCTGCACAGAAAACTTTTCAAAATAAAGTAATTCATCAAGACTGATCTTTTTAGAAAACTAGCCTGGGATGAACTCAGGGATGGTTCAAATACATCCAAAAATACCACGTTGGAAGCGTGGAGTCTCATTACCACTGCAGGTGAAAGGTGGGCTTCTTTGAACTTGAACACCACGTGATCAACCTGAATATGCAAATACACAAACAAGCAAATAGCAAAGAAAAAAAACCCTTAGCTCTTTAAGGTCCTTTCACTTCATGCATCCTCCTCTAAGGAATGAATAAGACAGCAAATGATAAATGAGCTGGGCTGGTAGCCTGCTAAGGCTCTCCTGGAGATGTCTGGAGGATGAGTGATGAGTGCTCCAGAGAATCCTTGCAGAAGAGAATGATGAACTTTGCTTTTCCTTCACTGGTGCTTATGAAATTGTAAGCAAGCAGTATCCTTCATGAGCTCACAGGCTGCACTTCTGCTCTGGCCTTTCTCAAAATTATTTTAAAAAGGGGTTAATGTATATGTATTACACCTAATCTTACTCTTTACACCTATAATGAGCGTTAAAAATTTTGCAATGGCTACAGATATTGCAAGAACCTTGCCTCAGAATTTTTGCTTCTCATTTCACTCTGCAAAATGTCTCTCTGGGATGAGGCTTAACATGCAAAGTTTCCTTTAGTGTAGGTATTTTTTGGTGAAAAACAAGAGGGGGAAATTGTTTGCAGGCTGAAACAACCCCTCTGACAGAGGCTTACTCTCCATAGCTAGATTCCACACAGTTACCTGACATCAAAAGATACATGATCACTTGCCATCATAAACTGCAGTGTCCCCCTCGGCTTTTGCTTTCCACTGAAAGTCTCCCATCCAGCTTACTAACTGAAAATGAGGATGGATGATTGGTGGGGAGCTCTCCCAGACGCATGCATAGATGGATGGGGCTCAGCTCCAGCACGGGTGAGCAGGGTATGCAACACCACCTTCTGCCTCAAGTGGCAGTGCGTTGGTCACAAACATCAGTAAGGCCGATATGGCAGCTTCAGGAAAGCTTTTTCTAGGCATGGCTTCTCATGCTGGGGATCTCCCCAAGCTGTTATGAGACAGCAAATGTTCATGATGGGTTTCTCTGGAACTGAAAAGTCTCCACCGAGTGCAGCCCACTCACATAATGATTTTCACACTTTAAAAATACACTTCTTTTGAAGGGAATTATTACAGCCAGGCACTACATGCAGTTAAGATACAAATTCTTCGTATTCTAGGTACTCATAATAAAAGGGATATACACGATCACCATAAGACATAGGCAGGAACCTACTAAATCACACATTTGTTCAGAGGAACTATTAAACAGCCCAGCTTTTCTGCCCACAAAGGATGGCGAGCCACCCACATGCTGCAGGAGCAAACTCCTGGATTGCTGTGCAGCTGCTCAACACCCTGCCACGTGCAGAAAGTGCTGCACCGAACAATGTGGAAACTGCTCACACTGAAATACAATTTCACAAGTATTTTTCTCCCCAGAGCAGCAGGCACGGCCTCAAGCTGCCACAGCACAGTGTTTGGGTTTGTGTGGTGCTGTGTGGAGCTGGGGTTGGACCCCATGGTCCCTGGGGATCCCTTCCAACTCAGGGTTTTCTGTGATTCTTAAACATTATTACCCCAGATAATAGCTGTGTGTATGCACAACACATGGCTGAAATAGCACTGAGTCTTGCTCCAGTCATCTGAGATGGGTTAGAAGGCAGCTTTTATACTACCCAAACAGCTTTAAAGGATACTTGTTACTAACCCTGTGGCTTGCACTAAGTGGCTGGCAGGTGCCAAGTGTGGCGTTACTCTCAGTTCTACAAAGTTGTATGCCAGAGTGGCAAAACAGCCTGTTTGCTATCTGAAGCAATTAGCAGTTATCTCAGCCACATAAATCGTGCTAGCCTTTCACACTTAGTCAAATAGCAGTTCAGTTCACTGCATTCCTTTGTGGTTTGCCTGACAGTACAGTGACAGCTCAAAGTATTAAGTGAAGGACCACCAGATGTCCTAGTAAAGCAGACCTGCCCAGTTCATCACCAAAAAGCAATCTGGGAGGCAGGTAATTTGCAATCTGATTACTTACTGCACCTCCTCAAACGATCTGGATGAAGGGGTAGCACAGGTGAGGTAAGTTGATGGTACTCACCCTGGAATGCCAAGGGCACTGAGCCTTATTACAGCAGCAAAGAGCTCTGCTGAACACATCCACTGCTTGGAAAGCAGTGAAAGTAGAAGATACAGGAAAAAAAAGAAGACAATGATCTTTTTGATTCTTTTGATCAATTACATCATTACACATATTCATCTTTTCCTAGAAATTAATTATTTGCCTTGTCACCAGCTGTAGATTGCAGTAGTTTGAGCCACTGGCAAATACATCCCAATTTTCTTTCCTGAACATATGGCAGTTGGACTTCTACAGGAAACTATAATGACTCATTACAAATATAAACTCATATTCGCATTAAAATATAAATTACAATGAGCATTTTATCATCAGACACAAAGTAAACGTCTTGTTGTAGAGAGGAATAAGAACTAGCAGAAATATACTGTTTTCCCAGGTGCTCTGTTAAAACAAGCATTAGTGTCAGCAGCTATTCCAAAACCACTTGTGAGTAAAATGCCTCATTTCAAGCAGACAGAGCTACAGATGATGCTGTTTGACGAAGTGGTCATGAGCACACCTTTACACAGTGAGGACTTATGCAAGCCGAGGGCCATGGTGCCATGTCTGTTATCCTGCCAGACACTGCACAATGCACACCAATTTCTGGAGGCTCTCTATCAAAAAATAAGAGCAGCAATAATAGCACTCCAAAGAAATTATCAACATCTGCTACATTTTTTGGCAAGAAACACTGATTAAAATCATTCTCTCTACAGAAGAAACAAAACCAAGTGTTAGCTATTTATATGTTGTGTGACACTTCAGCTCAAAACTTAGATTGCATTAAGGACTCAGTCCAGCCTTGCTTTTAGTCTTCAGTGAATTTAAAAAGAAAACATCCTGCACAAGTTTTGGAAGCATGATTAACTGCACAAGCCCTGGAAGCACCACTGACTGACTTGATTATGCTTGCATCCATTGAAAAAAAAGGATGGACTATAAATACACTGGGTAAAATTAATACTTCTTCACAATGACCACGCTTAATTAAAACTTCCAAGTGCTTGCAAGGCACACCCAGGTCTGTATTCATGAAAATCACTACAAAAGAAATAAGCCAGACAAGTGCTGCTGTTTTTTGTTTTGTTTGCTCTTTCCAGGACACATATGGAAGGGACAAGTGCTAGTTCAGTCTCTTCATAGAGGGAAAAGAAAAACTGTTACACTGTAACTGCTGTGCATGTCAGCCAGCACAAAGAACCAGAAGCTGATCAGCCAGAAAAGGACTTCTATTGAACCCACTAAACACTTTGTTTCTAATACCTGTGCAATGAAGTAATGTATGACATCAACTGAAATACATGTAACGGCTCAGCTCTGGGCATCTTTTTACCCAAGTTTATCAAGAAAGCCAAGTAACATCTGATAAGAGAAAGCAAAACAAACAAAATCTGATCTAAAACCTGTAAATGCCAGCTATCTTTGCACTTCCTTAATGACTTGCAAGAGTGTTGCATGCTCATTTTTCAAATAGCTGCATACCTCCAAAAAATGCTGCCGATCATTTCTCATGATGATGTTAAATTTAATTTTGGGTGATTGGAGGAGAGCAGTGATAAACACATTATGCTACAATGTGGCATAAGATGAATGCGGTGCATCCTCTTCTAATAACGATCAATAGGATATGATTATTAGCTCTGTGCTATGTTCAGGAAAAACAGAAAGCATCCCCAGTTGGACATTTCCACATAGAGGGAAATCTGGGTTGTCGCATGCCTTCCTCCTGCTTGAATACTGCAGTTTCCAAGAAGATAAAATCATGGCAACTCTCCCACACCCTCTAAAACAGACATCCTGCATTCAGTCAAAAACGGCAAAAAAATGAATCTGACCTGACCTTTTTGTTGCATTACATTTCCTCTCCAGTGTGTTGGGTTCTTACCTGGTGCAGTTTTGTAAGACACTGTTCTGGTGGGCAGGGGTGGTGCGCTCTTCGTGACGGGGCTTGGTGCCATCTGCAGACCTTGCCGCTGCCTCTTCAGCTCCTCTTCCCGCTCCTGGGCAGCTCTGATTTCTTCTTCTATCATTGACAAAGTCCGCTGCTTCCTTGATCGTAACTTGAAAGGGCCCACGGTCACTTCAGGTTCCTGCGTGGCAAGGATGGAGGCAGTGCTCCTCAGCTCGGCTGCCTCTGAATACTTGCTGAAGTAACTGACTTCGTGCCTGTTCTCCTCCACAAGGAATGGCTGGCTGGCAGAGTACACGGGCGACTGCTGCAAACTCTTCCCTTCTCTGAGTCCTGAGTTGTCTTCTTTTGAAGTCTTTGGTATGGTGTCCCTTTTTTCTTGAACAGGTGAAGACACCTGGGGTGGCTTAAATACTGGGTTCTGCTGCTCCTTGGAGGCTGAAGATAGCCTGGTGGTGGCCGGCTGCTCTTTGGCAGAGATATCCTGCTCTGCTGGGATTTTCTCTTCCTTGCCATTTGTTTTATCTGCCTGTTCGGCTATGGCTTGTTGGATGGCATTTTGAACAAGCAGACCAGCGTGGTATTCCAGCTGGTTGTCCATCAGCATAGAATCTGCCAAGGCAGAAGACAGTGAGTCACAGCCTGGGTCACTGAATGATTTGGACATGCCTTCACCCCTGCACTCTGCTGGAGTATCGGTCTGCGGGGTCTGTGGCAGGGAGAAATCTGCCAGTGAGCTTTCTTGCAGGGCACTCATAGTTTCATTAGAGGCACCACTGTCACTGATGTTATCCATGCTGAAGTCATTGGAAAGAGTCTCCAAGACAGTGGTATCCTGAGATCTTACAGACAAGTCATCCAAACCGGAGTCAAGCTCCTCGGGAGGGGAGGAGGCGCTGGCTGACTTTGGGAGATGGTCTAGCACACCCTGTACATCATCCTTCACCACCGTGAAGACAGCTCTTGCACTCATGAATTCTCCATCCTCTGACCACAGTTTCGAGGCCTGTCCAGCTCTGGAGCTATCACTACATGGTAACTCTCTTATTGGGTCAGCACTGTTGCTCTGAGCATTTGTATCTTCCTCTGAAGAATAGGAGACTTTCTGTGCTTTGACAACAGTGATGTCATTACCCTCATGTTGACCTGTTTGTCCATACATTGAAACAGGTCTTGTAATAGTGGAGAGAGGCCTGTCTGCATTTGAAGGATTGAGGCTTTTATAGAACGGTTTGACGGAGAACATTTTGGGTGTTCCAGATCGCCTTGGTGGGACCTGACCCTGAGATGGACCTGAATGCTCCATCAGTTGGAATTGCTTCCTGGCAGCTGAGAAATCAATTTGCTCTGTGACAATATCCTCTTTCTTGATATTCACTGGCTCTGGTGGTACAAAGGAGCAGCTGACCTGTTTGGGAGATGTTGGTGTTGCACTTTGCTGCTGCAGTCTCTCCTTGCGCTCCTTATACTTTTTGTGGGATTCCAAATGCTCTTCATCCAGTTGTTCCTCCAGAGTCTTCTCCTGGGGAGGGTTCCACCACTTGGCGGCAATGTTAGGGTTTTTCTTGACAGCCTGGCTTTTAATGAGCTCCCTTCTTTCTTTTTCAAGTTCTATCATTTCCTCTGATGGTCTCACTTTGCGGACCCTATACTTTTCTTTCTCATCTTCATCTTCAAAGAGCTTAGAGGGCTTTTTGTCCTCATGGAAAGCTCGGAGTTCAAACTTAGCCTCTTTCTTAAGGGTTGTAAGAGTTGTTTCTCCATCCTTAGAAGATCTTCTAGAACTGTTTGAAGAAGTGGGACTTCCTGGTATCTTCAAACTTTCCCCAGTGTCTTCCTTCAGTCCACCCAAGGAATGGCCATTAGAGTTCAGGCTTTCACCTGCTGTACTAGCTTCACGTGGTTTAACAACCAAGGGCGCCTGCTTGTCAGCTATATTTTCTTCCCTTGCATTGGGTACTGAATCATTAGAGACATTAACTGAAGCACCTGAGCCATCCATGATGGTGACTGCACTTAGCTGAGGAGAGGATGTCCCATTAAAGGTATTATCAGCAGAAGAATCACAGCAGTTTGCCTCCAGCACTTCATCTAGATATCTGATCTCTTTAGCAACTTCACTGTCCAGAGATTCATGCCTGTCCTTAAGTCCATTGTGGCTGGCAGCAGAAGAAAAGAGGTGGGTTGGATTGTCTATGGGATGTGGTGAAGCCACTGTGGTGATGCTTTTATGCTCAGAAACTGGAACTTCAATTTCCATTTTTTCTTCCTTTGTAGCAAGCGCAGTAGCTGGCTCCAAGAAATTGGCACAGTTTTGGTCTCTACTTTTTTTTAACCTGATGTCATCCTCAGGGATTCTGGAAGATTTCTAAAATAAAACAGAACAAAACTTTGATGAAGTCCTGAAGAGAAGCATTGTATTTTCTGCAGACTAAACACCATCTGGAAAGCAAACCGTAGCAGTTCCTAAACTCGAGATTAAAAGAGTTCTTCACAAAATTAGAAGCCATGGCAAATAATTAGTACTTACAAAAAATAGAAAGTTAACTTACTATAAAGTGAACAGGGCACTAAAACAAAAACAAACTTTCATTTAAATATCTCCCAAATGGTTATCATCCTAACTTGTCATTATTCCAGGCCTGTGTCCTGGTCTGCCACTAAAAATGAGGTTTGGATTTTCAAGTTACTAATGATTTAACAGTTCAGGTTCTTGAAAGGCTTGCACGTGCAGCACACAGCACCTATCAACATGGTTTTTTACAAATGTTTTCCACACCTAAAGAAAACCTCAGAATACATCCACAGCTGATAAGCATTACTGTCTCCATCTTGCAAAAGCAGATGCTAACATGCAGAAACAGCAGGCAACTCATTCCACATCAGGAAAAGGACGAGATGACACCAGGAAATGTTCATTTCTCAGTGGATCAATCTCAGCCATCAAACACAGGGTAGAATTACACAGTGCTGGAAAAAACATGGAGTCTTTCTCCAGCCCACACAGAAACCCACATGCAACTGGAGCTGGGAGGCAGGAAGCATTCATGTCTCCCACAGCATGGAGATCACCACAGGAGGCACAACAGGGACCAACAGAATCATGGTCTTCTCACTCTTTCCCCTGCAGCACAGATGCACTGGACTCATATTTCCTCATGATGAAGACATTACCAACACCATCCTCCTAGGACAGCTTGGTAATTTTCTCAGAACACAATACGATCTCAAAACAACCAAACACAGCATGCCTATTCACATAATCAAATGCTTTAACACAGAAACTTGCATTCTGACGTCTCTGGCTCCTTTTTCACATAAGCTCTTATACAGAACTACTGCTGAAGCATGGATTTGGGAAGCAAACGCCACTGACCAAATCCTCCAAACACAGTGGCTCCCCAGAAAGGTCACTCCTGTCAGCTGGCCACAGCTGTCCTTGCCACCATGCATCATGCACTCTGTTAGTACACAATGCAGCAGAAAATGACCAGCCAAGAGCACAAGGATCTTACCAGCTACCTAAACAATAACACTGCCTCTGGGTTTACATGGGCAGTAAAATGCATTTGACACACCCTGAAGAATTTGAGCCAGGCAGAAGAGCTCTTCTAAAAGCATTTTGAAAGAATTTCTTGTCTAATCATGCCCTTGTACAGAGCTGAAGATAATGCTACCTTCATCCATCAGAGATTTTCTTTTCAATCATACTTAAGTGCTAGAAAACACCTTTAAGAACAGGCAAACAAACAACTTTCTTTTGTCAACACATCTTACCTATTTAGTTGGTTCTACTTTCACTGCACCTTCTGTTGAACCTACATATTCTCAAGCTTAAGTTTCTACCAGTGCTCTCCTTAAAGCATATTGCATTGTTTACAATTTATATGTCTAACTGTGGTCAGCTCTGTCCTCAGCCTGAGTAAAGATAAATCCAAGCAAGCAGGTATTCTGCAAACATGCGCAGAATAATCAAAGTAAGAACGAAACTTTGATTAAACCCGAAAATACAAGAATAGCTGCCTGCAGAGCTCCTAGTGTCATATTCAACAGGTATTCACAACAGGCCTAAAACTGCAATTTCTTTCTGAGTTCTGGGTTCAAGTCTCCCCTGTCAGACTTGCTGACACCAAAAAGAGGACCACCTGCTACCTGGAGCAGTTTGAGCGGAGGGACTTAAGCTTCTATACAGGGCTGCTGGCCCTTCACACCTGAGATGAGCATGCTGTCAAGCTCCTGCTAACATCTGGAGCTAGCAATACACCTGCTGCTGCCCCCGAGACCTCATAGCTAACACTGCGCTACTGCTATCACTGCACCAATGTACACAGATACTTTGGGATCAGGTCATGTTTGGGCATTCATGTTGCCTTTAGGGAACATAACCAAAAGTGAAGTACTTCATCAGTCGATTTCTTAATGAGTAATAGCTCATCCCTTCATCATAGCTGCAATCCACGGCTCACAATTAAGGCATATACATGCAACTGCCTAATCAGGGCAGGCATTTACGGCAGCATGTACTTCTGAGAGTGCACGTGTTGCACAATTAGTGTGGCACATGTAATCATCTAGTAAGCACGACAATTATACATATACCTATGAGGAAACATTGCTCCTCATGGGGAGAGGCCTTTCTTTGCCAAGGATTAAAAATTGTGAGTAGGGATGGGCTCTCTGCAGGGGAGTAAACCAAGGAATGGAGGAAGGAAAAATAATTGTATTTATAATGATTCCTTGTTTTCCCCTCAACACATTCTTATATAATCTCAGGGCGCTTTCAGGACAATGAGGAGGGAATGTTCCAGATGCCTCTGGTATGAAGCAGAAGTCAACCCATGGATGAATTATATGAGGACAAAACTGGAAAGATCATATGGATGGACATAGACCAAATTGTCAGGAGAACCAGCTGGGAATGGTCAGGACGAGGACATGGTGATGGGAAGAGAATGGGAAACTACAGCCCCATCGAGGCTGCTTGGCAGGAGGAGCAGAGCTTGCCAGGGGCTGCTGCTGCTGCACACACCAGCACCTTCATATACACCGCCCACTGAGAGCAGCTGTCTCAAAACTAGTAATAAAAGTCTGTAAATGAGGGAGGGCCAGCATTCAACCCCTGCTGCAACTGGCAATGTTGCCTTAGCAGCAATTCCTGTACACTGCACTTTCCAGAAATTACTGTTACATTTACACCCTCTCTGAATATGCATTCATTTCTTTCTGTTTAAGTCAAGATGCAAGTGTAATTATTGCCATTTGTACAATGCTGCTGCACTTTAGTAAACTGCAGTTATTAGCAGCCTGGAGAATTATTAGCATACTTCCTTCTTGGCTGAATTCTTCATCTACAAAAGTCTAAGTGTTTGAGCATTCAGATGTTTTAGGAGGAAAAAATGGTGGGTGTTCTAGCAGCAAGACCCAGCAAATGTACAGCCAGTGCCTTCCTTTGTTTGATCCAACAGAAATGCATGTGACACCAAGTGGGAGGCAGTCCTTCACAGACACATCCACATTCTTCCCAAGAGACGTCATGGCAAAAAAAACCAAAAAAACAAAAAAACAAGGTGAGATTAAACATTAAAATTTAAAACAACTAAGAGATTAAAAAAATCTAAAATACAACATGGCAGGCTTCTACTGGTCACTCCAAGTTTCACAACATTGCTTCATACTGCTCATCTCAAGGCATCACTGGCACTGTGGGCTTCCCATTTCTCTGTCTTCCTTTGCAGCAGTCCTGTAGTGACCCTGCTCCTCCTCCCATCGCCAGATCACTGTGCCACTGCTTTGTTCAGCCCTCTATCCTCAGTTTGTGGATCTAATGCTTGGGCTTACCACACCTCTAGGAGTTTTAGTACAGAAATATAACTTAGAAACACACTTGAGTATGGTTGATTCAGTAATCCACACCTCCCTGCTGATGTGAATTGTATTCTACTGTTTTGGCCTGCTTCTCTGAAGTCTCTGTGCAAAGCAGAAGGAACCCGATGATGGATTTGCTAGGGGGTTGACTGGCAAAACTTCAAGAAAGAGCCTGTTTTCATTCAGCTCCCTGTTTTGAAGAACTGGACACCATCTGTACCATGGGCGGACCCAGTCCCGAGCATTGCAAAGATGCAGATGGTGTATGCAGCTCAGGGATTCTAGTCACCATACCCACCGAGAAACCTCCCAGCCTTGACAGGGACTGCTCTGCTCACTCTTGAAACAGCAGGCATTTTACCAAAGAAATGGAAGACTGGTATGACACGCAAATGCTGAAATTCTCAATGGGGAAAAAAAGGAAAAGCAAAATTATATTAGCTCCACCTAGTAATAGGGTCAGGGTGCTGCCCACCTCCAGCTCTCAAAACACAGTGATCCCCTTTGTTGCTGCTGGGATGGGCCTGCTCCCCAGGGGAGTCTTTGCAGGCACCATACTGAAGAAACAGGCCAAACCTTTACGAGATGAAGCTGACGATGGGGACTCAAGGATTGGAATGGGATCGCTGCTCAAACACTCCCTAAAGGAATTGAGCCTTTCCATTAAAACAAACACATACAAACAAAAAGTGTTGTCCTCTCTCTCTCGTAGCAAAATATCCCATTTTCTGAGTGATACTTTTACTCACCAAAGTTCTGAAAACACCATGGAGAAAGTTATCCCAAGTAAATTATCATTTTTCACTCAATGAAGTTGCACAGAGTTCAGATTTTAGAAAAAAAAATCCTCACATCCTGTTGCCAAATTTTGCTGAATTCAGAACTTGTCAGACACATGCTGGCACTACCTTGAATAGTTTGATTCATAATTGTGCCTGTGCACAAAAGCAAAACCTAGCCTGTTCCTCTCTCAGAGCAGTACATGGTGTCCTCAATACATGGACGCAAACCACTCTTGATGACTGAAATTCATTCGAGTTGAGTGTCAAAAATGATGTTCTTTGTGAGCAGCTGGCTTCGCTCTTCAACAACTTGACTGAGATAGCCAGAGAGTACAATGGACAAATTTTCTTAATGAAAAGCTGGTTCATCTCCTTCAAAGCACTTCAGAAATCACAGTGTGCAGTCTAAAATCAATGCAATTCCACACTAATTTCCCCTAAAAAGCAGTGGGAGTTTCTTTAGGAATACAGAGAGCAAAAAGGGATGTGAAGATACAGCATCCAAACAAGTTGCTACTCGGAGAGCTTGCTGTGTGACATTTTGTGAGTGTTTTTCCATATGCTGCTTTTCTTGACTATTTTAGAGGAGCTGTTATTGCATTTACTCAGAAAGCACGTGAAAGTCTTTGCAATATTCTCTTTCATTCCAGCTGAGCCACAGACTGCAGCTTCCTCATGTGATGCACAATAGGGCTCTTTTATCAAATTGAAGTCCAATTTT